GTGCCAAGCAGCCGCCGCTGCAGAGCGCACACAGCAGAGCCCAGGACCTCGCTCTGCTGCGGGACTAACGGGATCCCCCCAAGCAGCAGACCCAAGCGTAGCTCACACAGCGCTGAAAAGCACAGACATGGGACCAAAGTGCAGGGAAGAAGTTAAATGGAAATGAAAACGTGAACGGGCAACTATCGATTTCTGAGCCGCTGAAAAGCATGGCTAACGTTCAATTTGTCTTTTCTTTTTCTCCCTGCAGAGAGCCAACAGTCTGCGAACGCGGTTCTGAGGCTGCTGCATTGATCCCAGACATGTAAATACCGCAGGTGCAGCAGGCTGGGCTCCAGAGCAGCATCTCACCGCGCGCAGCCGGGGATCCCGGAGGCGGCAGCCACGGGGCTCCCCTGGCTCCGGCTCCGCGGCTCCCGCCCCAGCTCCGCTCACGGCTCCTCCTCTTTCAGGGAAGCTCCGAATCCTACGGAAGTTTAGTCTGCTCTCGAAGTCCCTCCCTGAGATCCTGCAGGAGGAGCACTGCTGTTTCATCCTAAACTCACCCGGCAACTGTGAATTATCTGCCGTTCAGAACAGAAAGCAAACACTATAAAACGCAGAGTGACACCAGGGAACTATAAATTCTCCGCAAGTGATTCTCGGAGTTGTGAGATTTTGCTCATACTTGGCTTAGGAGAAGGCGGGCAAGCGGGGAGAAGAGCGGACGTCCCTGCGCAGTTCGCGCAATGGTGGCCACTTCCAGGGAAGAAAGAGAATGCAAGGAATTGCCTGCACGTAGGGAAAAACTAGCTGAAAAGCCCGTGTTACCTGGACACAAGTGGGAATCCAGCCCTGCCCGTTTCCCTCGTGAACTGCGGTTTATCAGCGCGCGAGAATGAGCGGCCGCCACTTCCCGAAGGGGCCGGCTGGGAGCGAACAGCGGCTCCGCTGCCCGGCGCGGCGCTCCGCGCACGGACACGCCGGGGACGGAGCTACGTTAAATATTTCAGCCGTTAAAGAGCACGGGTTATTACTGAGTTGTACTGTAAGCTGCTCAGAAAGTTAATTCCTCCTGCACTTACTCAATAGTGGTGGCGAAATAACCAACTTGAATGAGTATTTTACAGTTTGTGCTGGACAGAACATTTATTAACAACCCCGGCCCCCTTCAAGCTCCTCTTCCAAGGGAGCCGCAACGCGCTGTAGTAACACAGGATTGAGCGGCTCGGGAAGGGCTCCGGGGCCTGGCGAGGCGCCCGGCGCGCGCGGCCGGCCCCGGGATTTCCCACGGGCAGACCCAGAGCACGCGGAGCCTGCGCGGAGCGCCCGCCCCCGCCCCGGGAAGCGCAGCCCAGCCGGGGCACGGCGAGGCCTCACGGCGCAAAACCTTGAAGGAATTGTAAACTGAGAACAATTTTATTGGCACTTTATTCCTCTGCTTTATGGAGGACCAGCTTATCGCCAATAAAGGTCTGCACTGAAAACACGCGCAAAACACCTGGTTTTCTCCCATAAACACACACGCGATCAGCCCAGTCCCCAGCGTGTCGACCAGCCCGGCCCTGCGTCGCGGTCCCGGGGAAGTGCCC